GTTCGGAGCGTGCGATCCCGCGATCGTAATGACTCCGAAACACTCGTCCGTCTAAATTAGGCGAGCTACAAACGTAGGGATAATGAAACTCTCGTGACCGCATAACAGGGTTGCCATAATGTTGTATTTTAAATGCGGAATTACACATTTAAATGTTGAATTACTTGATTTGTGGACCACTCTAGTGAGGATGAGGGCAATAGAAGAAGGGAAGTGAGAATATCCAGCCAGCACGTGAATTCAAAATCAAGCATCTTGTTTGTAATAGCAGAGGTGCAGTTTTATGATATGATTTCGTTAATATCGCTGTCGAAACAATGATAAAGTAAGCTACATTACCTGTTGTACTAATGATTCGCTTTACTGGTGTTATAACGAGCCTATGTTTGTGTATTTGTGATAATTGGGATTTGTCCTGCGTTATGCATGATTTAGAGTATGACTAGTGCAGTTGGTGTGTACCGCGGATCGTGTCCCGGGGCGGGCGCGGCGGTGCGTCCGAGACGTGGGCCCGTGAGAATGTTGCGAGTCGTTAGGGTTAATTTGTTTATCGTTACGCAATTTGTGAACACTATGTTAGGTCTAAGATAATGCGTGACTGGTGAAAAAAAACGTTCCATCATCACTAGTTTTTGTCTTGTGATCGTTTTCACATCCAATCATTTCTATAAGACGTGACAAAACCGATCATCCTTTTGCTTTTTGTCTCATCGTGTATCCTTAACTTATCTATCTGCTTTCGGAATCTTGTAAAAAAATATAATAAAGCCCTTCAGGGAAAGAGATATAGAAAATCTTAACGCAGCATAATAAACAATTAGATTGTATCGTTACTTGTTCTTCACTTCAAATAAGAAAGGGGTTAATTTGCAACAGACCCCTTTCGTTACGGTATGTGAAGATACGTTACTCAAACCGGAACTTATAATACGAAAACTGTTGACTGTAAAAATGTACGTTATTTAATTCCTTACATAATGGATAAATTTCATATCTAAGTCATATATTTTTGTTTGTAATTTATCTCCTTTTAGCTATAGGAAGGCTTATTATCGCTTACTCTATCTCGGTATCTCGTATGGAATCGAAGTCGACTTGACTCTAACTGAACAGTGTTTGGCGCGAACTCGTCGATGACGGTCGTGGGTTTAGTTCTATCTTGCGCACCCGCTTTTATATAAATACGTAAAACGTACCATTTTAGTTTGTAATTTTGATACATCTAAAAAACAACGGTAATCAAATTTTTATTGGATTTCAAATGTGTTTTCACATTCCAAATATGCAGAATTTATTCGCGTTAATCAAATCTTGTTTTAGTGTATTTTAGTGTAAAGTGAACAGTGATTTGTAGTTGGATATTTATTTATATAATCAAACATTTTAAAATGAAATTTTGAAAATGTTTTATAGGAATAAAACTGTTGATCGAATCTAGGACCTCATGTTGCGTATATTTTCAAAATAACTAAACTATCGGATAGATGTTATTTGGGAGTTATACATTTCTGGCGGATTTCAATACCAATGCTTACAAAACACATTTTCCATTCAATATGCTTTTAAATTTAATGGCCATGTTGAATGAATTGTTATCTCACAGTAGATATGAATGCACCATATGACAGCACACACAGTTAAAAAAAAACATAATCTTCACCTTTGTAATTTAAAATAGGTAATTTAAATATTCAGAGTAAACAGCGATAGTACCAATTACCTAATTCATCAAGTTCAAACTAGTATTTACAACGACAGCTAGGTATATAAGACATATGGGATAAAGAGGTTCTATTTTTATATTTTTTGACAGAAATAACAAAAGACCCACCACCGCCTTATCAAGAAAATGCAACAGATCAATTCGAAGATGTACAAGGGACATCGCAGTCACGTATTACGGTACGTAGAACAGACACTTACGGCCAGAGATATGTCTTATCTAGATATTTGAAATATCTCAATCAGATCAATCTCTAGCTCCCTATACGTTCCCATCGAAGGGCTCGGAGTTTACCCTAATAAGGGGTGATTAGGCCATAGTCAACCACGCTGGCCAAGTGCTGGTTGATTGACTTTACACATATCTTTGAATTATTTCGCTGATATGTGCAGGCATCACGATGTTTTCCTTCACCGTAAGAACTTTGGGTAAATTATGTACATATGAAATTTGAAAATCGAAATTCACATTGGTACATGGCGTGATTCGAACCCTAGACCTGTAGATTACAAGTCATGTGCTTATACTCTAAGCCACCGACGAAATACACACAAGATACGAACCATAAATTTTGTACTACAAAATACTTTTATTAAATTTTTTGTTTGTATCTTGTATTTCAGATAATATTCTCGAAAGCATTTTGTATCTGGTATCTGAAATACTTTATTTAAAAATATCTTGTATTTCAAATACTTCGTCCAAGGTATTTTGTACATCACTGCTTATGGCAACATTTTAGAAAGTGATTTACCAGTCAAAGATAGTTAAATGTATTAATTAAAGACCGGGTGCATATGGAAGTGAATTTCTTAGGTAAATTACTCGTTTGCATTTTAATTTGGTGATATAACATGGGTAAAAAATATTCTTACATCGCCGCCGGAAAGCTGTGCCCGATAACGAACATTCGAGTCGTTAATGCATACTTGTTAACGTTAATGTTAACTTAGTATTATGTAAATAAACTAGAAAATCATTTGTACATTAAAATGTGTAACGAATGATGGGAAAGAGTAAAATAAAAAAAAAAAACAAATTCACAGAGAGTTTTCAAAACCCTTAAGAATACTAATATTATAAATGCGAAATTTTAGATGGATGTTTTATAGAGTTTGTAGCCTAAACTGGTGAACGGATTGCTATGAAATTTGGCATAGATATAGAGGATAGTGTGGAAGAACACATAGGCTACTTGCATTTGATTTTTTTTAGTGACTAAAAAAGTTTTTTAGTGACTTGCACGTATATTTTTACATTTATTTTCACTCGAACTATAATGGAAACAGGATTAGATGTAATAACGTGTTATGGGTATATTAAATCATCCGCTAAATAACATAATAATAGAGCTGTCTGATGTCCGCGGTCTCGCACATGCTAATTCTGAATGTATCTTATAAATTATAACAATTCATATTCGATAATCACATTACTATTAAACAGATTATTTATTGTCATATAAATAAAATAACAATCATAACAATCTATATTCTAATATAAAAATTCGCCGTTGAATACTTTATTGTAATATTATAAACTAGCTGTTCCCGTACGGCTTCGTTCGCGTGAAATTATATTTTATTGTTTACATTTGTCAAATTCTGCAAATACAAATGTCATAATTACCGTTACCTTAATGTTGGCAGCTGGTAGTTTGTGGTCCTTTTCCCACGTGTGGTTTTTTCCAATTTATTTACCCCCTAAGTGTAATGGCGTGAAATTGTATAGCCTAAAACGTGTCGTAAGAGTAGGACTTTTTATTCAAGAAAGAATGATTCAAAAATTGCTGTGATTTCTGACATCTTACGCCACGAAGTAGTGCTTGTTTAGGCCTTATTACTCGTATATTAGTATTGATTAGATTGTGTGATATTGATGGGCGGACAACGTCTAGACTCTAAACACATTTAATAAATATTCAAGATAAATATAGCAGGTAATGCTGTTAAACATAATCTATTAATCAAATAAATAATTTCAGGATAACACACCAATATTCGAAGTGCTAGATTTACTGGCGAATTGCAAAATAACTCCGAAATCCGATGAAAACTCGCATTCAGACGTCGATTACGTCGAAATCGAAGACATGGGTCTTTGGCATTCCTCGCCTTTGCGGCATCGACATAAATCTAAAATCTCATTAACATGGGTACTGAAAGATAACCTCGAAAACGTCAAAGTAAAACAAGACGATATAATAAAAAACAAATTGGGGTATTTAAGCAAGAATTGTAATCAACTAAACGAAACTGAACGACTTGTTACGAAGTACAAAGGCCAAGTGAATCGAGTTGTTGGTCGTAATGAGAATTATCATAATTTGAAGTTTAGAAGCGCTTGTGAGGAGTTCAACGGTCAGGAATCTTACTCGGACACTAGCGTTGGCACAGAAGAGTACGTACGGAGAAAACACAGACATCGACACAGGAGAAAAAAGCGGCAAAACGGAAAATTCGGATACGACATTAGAGATTTGGATAGCTTCTTGAGTGCAGTAAGTATTTTTTTTATTCTTTTTCATTTTCAAAATTCATTGAATTGTCCATTCTACAAGTACAGATTAAAAAGAAGATTCACAGACAATATATAGATTATTTTTGCCAGATGTTACTGGCAATAAAAACAGTTAGCCATATGTTACATGATCATTATGTCGGCGAATCTGACCAACTGACTAGTAGCTTTCGTATAACAACGAAACCATACAAATGCGATCGCGTGGGAACGAATTACCGCAGAATGTTAACATAACTATTAACCCATAAATATGTTACCAATTTATTTGTAACAATATTGTAGCAATTTTATTTGCAACAAGATATACTAAATAGTAATTTCCATTTCGGACGATTTTACAGGTTGAGCTGATGTTTTAATAATTTTATTGTTTTATGGCATTTATCACATAACAGAGATAACATACTTATTTAGTTTTAAGCGTTTTTATGAATAGTAAACTGCCAGTATTTTCTACCACTCGAAAGTTGTCGTTCAATCAATGCCACATAAATAAAAAACACATTTACTCTACATGACTTCCGAGTTTGAAATAAAGATGGTCGTCTAATTCATATTTAATTACTTCGCAAATCGATGGTAGATTGTGTCAGTGTGTCGTGCGGTGTTAACAATCAAGCCCACTTCCTCATCCGTTCGTCGTAACTGTGTTAATGATGAGTCTTGTCTTTTATGAATGATAGTGAAATTAAATTCTATAGTGGTTTTTAACGTTTTCTTTTAAAAAAATACTCAATCAAGTCTAGATATCAAATTATTTGGGCTCGTTTCTTTCCTTCGTTTAAGACTTGGTACTACCGGAAAGATGTATAGCGACTTTGCTAAATCTATCTATTTCTAAATTTAAATTGCACGATTTTAATTAAAATATCACCACAGCATTCAAGCACGTATAACTGTAATTCGTATGCATTTACGAGTGTACTTTATTGCAATAGCTTGAACATTTTGAATTTAGTCGCGATTCTAGAACCTTCGCCATTACTCATTCCTGCAATATTATTGTGACAACGTAATGTTCGATGGTGCGGCAACAACGCTTACGGACTCAACTACTCTTACTTCTTGGCGATTATCCTCTCTATTCCAATGGGTTGAGGTTCATGTTGTTGTATATTTCTCTATAATTTATGTGACAATTGTGTTGCTCGTAATTTTTGTTTTTACATCATAACCAATGCGGAGACGATTTCATCAAAATTCCTACATCATAAGAGAAATTATGATAGAGTGAACTTTAACGGTTGCACATGGTTGGTATTCGTCGGTATATTTTCAATTATCTATTTTTGGCCGTGCTAAATGTTAACAGTCAAAACATTTGTAATGGCACTTTAATGAGACTGGGTCACTTGAAGATGTTCGAGTAAAAAACTACATAGTACTTTGGCTGTATATTTGCAGAAGTGTTCAATTAATCCTAACTTTAACGAGCAATAGGAAAACAATACTTTTTACCTAATAGAATTAAATTAGTGGTTCACATGTATATCAAAATTATACCTTTTATTCCATTCTGTTACAGTTTGGAAAAATACAAAAATATTAAACCTCAAAAAAAATGACAGTAAGTTAACCGCGAAATTGGCAGAAAATTGTTCGCGGCATAAACTGCATCTTTAAAGCACGGTATTTTGGCAACATTAAATACGGACTTCGTTTCGGCCTTTGGACATTACCGATTTTCAAAAAATTACACTGCGATTTCACGCAATTATCTTCTCTCCGTATTGAAAATTGAACGCTATTTTCGATTGTAAATATGTAAAAAGAAAACATAACCAGGGACTGACTTGGATCGCAATCTGACAAGATATTTTTTTGTACTTTTTTATAAAGGTTGCACTGTCATCCGGTTAATTTGGCGGTTAGAACACTCCCATGCCCTTTAGTTCCATAGCAACAAGAAAGGGAAAACGTTAGTGCACCTGCTACTACTAGCACATTCCTTGTTAAAACAAACTAACGATGCTATTGTTTTTTGTTCGTTAAATTCGTTTGTGATACAAAACTGCATCTGTTCTGTTTAATTTTTTTTTTTACCGTATTAAGCTTCTGTGACAAAATAAAAACTTTTTTGCACACTGGCAGAAATATATTTGATTAATTATGCATTACCGAGTGCGGACCTGTGCTGGGCCATTCATCAGTGCTCTTAATTTAAAACAACGATATATCTCGGCGAGGTTAAACGCTAGTAAGTTAATTACGCCAGTTCGTATCGCATGTAATATGATATATCCGAAGACGTTAAAAAATTACTATATAATGTTCCGATGATTAGTCTTTCGACCTTTGCCTGATGTATCGTGAATTAAAAACGTTTTTATAGGTTATGGAACTCTGTTAAATGATATGCCGTTGTTATGCTTTGAGTAGCTACTTGTCATCAATACTGATTGTAATCTATCATTTACATTTTATCTACAGTCGTTAAAACTGGATTAGACGTTTCTATTTTTTATTTAAAAATAAAACGTTAAGCAAACTTTAAACCATAGTAGCATTTTGCGTATTTGATTAATCATACTGTAAATCACATGATTATGAATCTTGGTTACTACTTTTCGAATACGTTGATTTCTATTACAAGCTTTTAAAAACGGTTAGATAAATTGTACATTATAATTGGCAGGCATCTATAGATCACCCAGGAAACATTCCGGTAGTGATAGCGTTCCCGACCACGTTGTACCAGACGCAGAAGGACTGCCAGCAGGAGCTGACACTGCCGCTGGGCACCGTCGTTAACGCAGTGTTCAAGAACCAGCAGTGGGTGTACGCACAGACTCCACATGGCCACGAGGGATACGTACTGTATACCGCTTGTTTACCGCTAGGAATATTACCGAACAGGTAAAATTTTCCGCACAAAATTTTATCACTAGCTGTTCCCCCATGACATTATAAAAACTTTGTTTTATTGTTTTACATTCTGTAGAACAATTAATTGTAAATTGTAAAATTCAAATACCCAAATGGCTGCAAAGGCCCTTGTCATTGGCTGAAAATTTAAATAACCATGGCACCTTTGCTTCTTTGCAGCTATTGGCATGTAGTTTTTGACCCTTTGTTACAGATCATTTTTTTTCAATTTACTCATCTTAAGATCAATGAAGTAAAATATATAAATGTAAATATATAAATAATGTGCATATTCCAGGACATCAGTACAAAAAAAGACTCCGTGCTGGGAAAGCAGCACCGACATCTATCCGCGGCCGTGCGGCAACCTCACGGACACGGAGAAGGAACAACTGCGCGGGCGAACGCGTTCCGAAACACGCAGTCGCACACGCACAGATAGATCTCAAACTTGCGCCGAAAAAGACTTTGATACGTTATATTTAAAAACTAAATCTATTTGTTCCAATATTGATAAAATTCATGATAAAGAAAATGTACAAATTAAAAGTGTTGTGAGACGTCAGACTTTGTTAGTTGTCAATAGTGATTACGGCGGGAACGTGTTGAACAAGACTTTATCTGTGAAGAAGGGGGACGTTGTGATGCTGGTGCCAGGTGTAGGTGAGAGCGACGTTGATTCAGAGTGGTTTTATGTTAAGAAAAAAGATGGAAGTCAGGGTTTCATACCTGCGGTTGTAGCTGGTCATGGATATATTTAATAAAATGTTTGTTACGAAATAACGTTGATTTACTTATTTCACATGACTCTATCATAGAATTTCTTTATTGGTAACTCTAATAAGAGCCAACCTCAAGAAAAAAAAACCTTTATAAAAAAAATTGAAATCTACAGATTTGGCTTCTAAAAAAACCGTCCAATTTACCTTTCTACCAGTTTTATATTATATAAAAAAATAACTCTTGTTAGATTAATGGATTAAATAAAATAAAACTCAAATCAATTGTCAAAAATAATATTTCAGAGCTATTACACATCTTATCTAAAATGTAAAACCTGATCTCTGTATTTAAAACTAGTGCAGAGGTCGATTTCTGGACTGGATCCGGCAATCGCAAGCAACTTATTTGGGTTAGTTCTTAATGCGGCAGAGTATACGGTTGTAGCGGACACAGGCAGTTCCACTTTGATTTCTCCAGAGTAACTGAGTTGATAGAGGTGTTTAGCTGCCCCTCCCGCTACCACACAGTCATCATGGAAGAATGAGACATGGATACCATGGTCTGGGATATCAAACACCATCACTGGGTCCAGTGAACGCTGATGCCAGAGTGATAGCCGAGGACCACCGCCACAAACCTTTAAAGACAAAAAATAATGTTGTTAATTTGTAAATAGTTTTACTTACCTGTGAAACTTATTTATTTTTTCGAACTTTGCCCACAAAAGAAAACATTTTTTCATAAATCAATTATTAAAGTTGGTAGTTGGTAGTACAGGTGTACTCTACACTACAAGAGTTCTCTTAATGCTAACCATACAATACAGAGATTTTAAGCAGGGTTTTAAATATTCTGTGAAAAAACATCAGGAGAATTATAATATCGAAAATTAATGTATTGGAGTTCAAAAAATGTTGCTTACTATCCAGTCTTCATCTAAAGCCACAGATCCAATCCATTTACCGATTTCAGGTCTGGATATGTTAGCTTTTTTATGTGGCTCCAGTTTGTTATGTGACTTTCCCATTCTTGTGTCCCACAGCATTACTAAACCATCTTCACCTGCTGATATTAAATGTTTACCTCTGGAACATTACAATAAACATTAGGTTTGCCAACATTTCTTGCAGTTTTCAAATAGTTTATATAAAAGAATGTTGGTGGCTAAGAGCTTCGGTACTTGACCTGCAATCTGGAGTTCCAGGGTTCAAATCCTTCATGTTCCAATGTTTTTCAATTTCAAAATTTCATTTGTACATATTTTATGACATTCTTACAGTGATGGAAAACAATAGCAATATGCACATATTGGGGAAAAAAATCAAAGATGTCAACATGAACTGGGCCAATGTTGACTAAGGCTTAGTTAATTAGCTAGCTAGTTAATTCAGCAAGCTGATGTTGATGAATATGAAGTTACAATATCATTTTAGTAAATTTACAATAGAATAATAATGAAATTAATTAAATTTTATACTTACCTCCCATGTACACTATGAATAAAGTCTTTATGTCCATCATATGTATTTAAATGTCGTCCATCCTCCAAATTATATACATAAATTTTATTATCACCACAACCAGCGTAAATCTTATTTTCTTCTTCATTAAACCATAAACTGTTTACATCGGTTTCATCGATTTTCGATTGAAATGCAATTTTGATAGTCCAAGCAGGTTTACTTAATTTTGATTGAACAATGGCTTTCCAATCCCAGCCAGATATTTCATTGACTGTGCCGACAATGAGGAAGTTTTCAGTACTAACCAAACTACATATCTGAGTTTTGTTTTCTAACAGATGCAAAAGTTTTGGTTTGTTATAATCTGGCGTAAGTAACTCAATAACTGGATGAAGAATAGTATCGAGACTGAAAAAAAAATAGTTTCATCAGCAGCTATGTCGTAAACTATAAGAGATTTTTTAAAAACATACTGATATAAATAAGGATGTACTTACTCAAACACCGCTATGTGTCCATAAATATTACCAGCAATTAAATATTTACCACACGGTGAATATGTCTGACACAGAACAGTGTTGTACAATATTTTATCCAGCATTTTACAGTCTTTTAAATTACGTTTTTTTTCTAATTTCTCAACTTTTGCAAATCAAACATAAACATAACCTTAAACGTCAAAAATAAATGAATATTTTTTTAAATAAAGTGACAGATTATGGAATTCTAGAGTAAATACTTATTTTATTTTATGTAAACTGAATTTGTATAACCGATGATATTATTTTTATTTAAAACGTCCTAAACAAAATTCAATTATTCAGTTAAAGTCATTGAGAAGAAAAAAATCAGTTTTAAATTGATCCCAGTAAAAAACATTTCATAAATAGGAACGCACAACCATAGATTGTCATAGAGTAATGAAAAGTTGACAAATTAAGGTGTGACCAGTTTCAGTGTTTTTCTAAAATTTTAGCAGAATTCCGGGAGAGTTATTAAAGAATGTAAATTAAACAAGATTTAAATAGATAACCACATAAAAACATGATGTTGAAATAAAAAAAAAGATCTGTACACTTATACATCACTGTTAATAATCTTTCCATAAAACTTATGTTAGCGTTTTTAAGAGGCCTTGTAAATGTTTTTCTATTCATCATCATCATCTCCTTATCCTACTCCCGTAAGGTCGGCGCAACAGGTTTTTGTCCTTCTCAAAAAAATGTTTTTCTATTAGGAACTGATAACACAGGAAAAGCTCATTGAATTAAGACGTGTAGCAAGCAGAATGTCAAATGAAATCTGGTCACACTGACCAATAATACAGACAATAAATTCGTATCCTTTCAGCCAAGATGGACGTGCGATTTACGAATAAAAATTCTTGAGCTGTATATAGAATATTGGTGAGATATTTATAACTTGACCCAAATAAACATTCCGCGTATTTGTACTTAATTTAATAACTGAAGTAATATAGTGCGGACTGTAATTTTATCAATTACTCTTTTAGTCGACGTATCAAATTGCGCTGTTATATGGAGTTAATTTTGTTAATTGACTTGTATATCAATGTAGGTAAATAAAACAACACAATGTACAATGGCATTGGATTGACGACACCGAGAGGATCAGGAACTAATGGCTTCGTTCAAAGGAATTGGGCTTCAGTACGAAAAACCAAAGATTCTGTGAATTATCGCACAGAAGAAGAGATCGCTAAGTTGGATTCGGCGTCGAACAAACAACCTAATCGTGAAATACTTGACCACGAAAGGAAAAGAAAAATAGAAGTAAAATGTGCAGAACTTGAAGATAGCTTGGAAGATCAAGGGTGAGTTTTTGGTCAGATTTTCTTATAGTATTCAAACTATATTATAGGTTATTATCATCAAAACCATGCAGTTAAAGTATGTATCTATCAAATTTCCACAAATTATGTTTGGTAGTTTAACATTAATGCAAAGTTGTAGATTTTATTTAGTAATAAAGGTAAAGCTTTCATTATGGGGTAGCTGGTAATGTTGTGTAATATGGCTGGCATAACATTAAGAAATAACCAAAGGCATACAAGTAAAATTGTATTTTCATCTACTATAGGACTGCCATGCCATATCTTTATAAATATTTTTAACTTCATTTCAATCATACAATGTTGAGATTTGCATAAAATATAACCTTTCTGAGGACAGTAATTTTGAGATTAAGGTTACTGTGAAGTTTATTGTGAAGACTTACACCCCAATAATAGATTGGGTTTAAGGTGCCATCTATGTAATAATTGCTTTTGCCAACTGAATGCCGCTTGGAGTGTCATAAAAGGAAATGTAATGGAAAGGCTATGTGTTCTTATAGAGTATATCCTATACCTGTGACAAATTTCACCTAAATCTGTTCAGACGTTCCAAGGATACCTTTTAACAAACATCCATTCATCTAACATTTATAATATTAGTAAGATTGGTAATTTAATTGTAGGTTTTTGTTTACATGTTATTGTTGATTAAAGTTGATACTTGACTAAAAATTAAAAATTAACCACATTTGTAACTGAAATTTCATGGATAAATTGATGGATTAACATTTAATTAATTATTAATTGAAATTATAATTGCATTAATGATTTTTCCAATGTATTTTCAACCTTTATGATATCTGATACTTTGCTAAATCAGATATTCAAATAAGCAGTCACATATAATGGCAATCAATACAACATCTAAAGAAGTAAAAGATAAGGTTCTTGGATAAATGTTGTCCCGCTAGTTGATTTTATTTCCTCAAAACATCCAGACTGTACATCTTACTTCTTACTAATATTGTAAATGTGAAAGTGTAGATGGATGGATGGTTGTTAGAGTTTATAGCCTAAACAGCTGAACGGATCGCAGTGGAATTTGGCATAAACATACAGGACAGTCTGGAAGAACACATAGGCTAATCACTTCTTTTTTAATCCCACGCGGACAGAGTCATGAGCGAAAGATAGTTTTCTATATAGTCTTTAGTAACCATACATTTTCCAAATGTAATTACTTAGAAACTAGCCTGTTGCAGTTATACATAAAGAATTAAACTTTACCCTGTAATATTTTACTAGCCGGTTTTTTTGTTTACTTTTTACTTTTTTCTTTAGGGTTGGGTAATTTAAAAATGAATTCTAACAAAAAAATGCTTCTGCTCTATTAATATTCACATCCATACTTTGATGTGTAATATCTATGGGCAGTGACACATAAATTCTTTCCCTATTGCTATTTTTTATTGTATTTTAGTGATATTTGATTTGTTTTTAGTCTGTGTATAAAAGTTCTTGTATTAAAAAAAAAAACAAATTATTTTAATCCAAGATGTGAAACTGTAATAACATTACATATTTGATAGAGTTAAATTGTGTTCTAAAATAAAATATTTTTTACCAACTTCTATACGAAAGGAAACTATTTCTTGAATATTTAAGTACCCAGAAAGTATATTTAATGTGTGTAATAAAAACCTTCGTGTTATAGGGCTCTAGAGGACCGCGATACGGTCGGCCAGATTAGCACCTGGTTCTGTTCAACCACGCCACTGTAATTAATTTTTACTGTTCGCACGCGTTACTCTTTACTGTATAATTAATTTATCAAAAGATAAAAAAAGTGAAAATAATTGGAGTTGTCACCGCGCTTGCAACCTGTTTTATGAATCGAATGTTGATATCGACATATGGGATATATATTTTTAATAATAAAACAAAGCAAAAGGTCTCTTGTCAAGTCAATAATAGTACATGTCATTGAATGGCCTACTGCTGTATTCACCCTTGTAAGGGCAACAGCCCCAGTTGCGCACGAGTCAGATCAATAATGCAACAGCGGGACTAGGCAACCCCATTTCATATAATATTCATTTTACCGGCCGCAGTCGGACAAGTCGCGCGGTACGTGGAGTCGTTATCGTTTTTATTGTTTTTCGGAAAGTAATTCCGCGATTACAGCAGCGCGGCGTAACATGCATTGGTACGTTCAGGTGACGGCTTAACCGAGAAATTATTTTCAGATTTTAATAACATTTCATTTCCCCGTAAGGCGCGCTGTCCGCAAGTCACTTAGCATTTTAAATTTCGAATTTCGAAT